GGGTTCATATTTACTGGGTGGTGTTGTGTACCACCATGCCATAAAAAGCTTTAACTGCCCATTTCCACACTTTATGCTGTTGTTTAAGGAACAGGACATTTATTTTCAGGCCCTGTTCCACAGTCTGTTCCGTACCAGTGATCTGTTTAGCAGCTCAAGGCCTCATGTATTTTCTTGTAGCTTTCAGTATGGTTTTCCAGTTAAGCTTGTAGCCCTCAGTATGGGTCTCTCTATTGTGTGTGGCCCAGAAAACTGGCTCTGTTGGCTCCATAGAGCCTATAAATGCTTTAGAGCAGGGGTGTCAAACATGTGGCCCACGGACTGGATCAGGCCCGCAGAGGGCTCCTATCCAGCCCACAAGGAATTGGCTGTCTCCTACTCCTTTCTCCAGTTCTTCGTCTTCTGCTGTTGCTGCTGCTTTGCAGCTGGCTTTATTTATTTATGTATTTATTTATATTTGAATTTCTACCCCGCCCTACCCCGAAGGCTCAGGGCGGCTTACAGGGCTTTACCAGACTCTCTCAATCACACAGGAGAGATAGATGGTCACGCTTCTGTTCCCTGCACTGGCTGAAGCTCCTCCCCCTCCTCCTCCCAGGGAGAGGGAGGGAATGAGCTAGAGCTTGTTTCCTGGCCAGCCTGCCTCAATTGCACAGGAGACAAAGGCAAGCCTTTCTTCCCTTCCATTGTCTGAGGCTCCTCCCATTTGCTCAGCTGCCTCAATTGCACAGGGGAGATACAAAACCCCTTTAAGACCAACAAAGTTTAATTCAAGGTATAAGCTTTTGTGTGCCTTGCTACAGTGTGTGTTTTGTTGGGCTCATTATGCCAGGGCTCTCCTAGGTGCAACTGGCCTCCCTCCCCCTTTTCACTGTATTCATGTCCTCATGACCCAGTATTTCTCAGTAGGAAAGCAATATGAACTATTTAGATGAGGAATAGCAACAAGTCAGTGAGGTGGATTAGGGTGAGTGTGTGTGTCCAGACCAAATTCACCCGGCACATTTCCTTTGTAGACTGGGGATTTTGAACTTAGGCTACCCAGATAGTAGGCTGATCCTGACCACTATATATTGCTGTCTCTCTATTCTTGCACTGCCTCATAGGATTTGTAGTTATTTCTCTGGGGAAGACTATAGTTTTATAGACAAACACATAGCCCTCAGTCTGTGTCAGGATACTTTCTCATGTTCTTGACCAGCACACAAAGCAATTTATGTACAAAAGCTCATAATGCCCAGCCATTTCATGTTTTCCCCTGGGTCCTAGGCTCAGAACCCTGAGCATGAGATTTCTGTAATGGATGTCAATAAATCAAAAGTAGGTTTGCAGCTTACAGATACACACCTGAACAGCATACTCAAGATTGCTACAGCACAGACATTTTGATGCAATAATTCAGAGCAAGAGGTGTCAATTATGAGAGACTGTTAAAATATTCCAAGAGTGCTAGTGTTTTAAGCATGCTTTATTTAAAGCTTTAAAAAATCTTCAATTGTGTTTGTGTCCTTTATAAAGTTTATGTCTCTCCTACCTGAGATTACATTTTATGACACATATGGCCTGGCCCAACAAGGCCTCATTTATATCAGATCTGGCCCTCATAACAAATGACTTTGACACCCCTGCTTTAGAGGGCTAGGAGTCCAAGTGAAAAATCCCATGAGTCTCATTATAGCTTTGTGGCCATGTACTGGTTGAACCTCCAGGTCAGAGCAAGATGTTTGTACTGCCTTCTAAGGTTGCAATCCAAAGAACACTTTCCTGGGAATAAGTCCCATTGAATAAAATGGGGCTTATATCTGACTAGATCTTCTTAGGATTGCTCGCCAAATGTCCCACATTTCCTCCCTTCCTGTTCAGGGAGGCCTGTCCCATAGTTTGAGACTCTGGGCTTTGTTGTCAGGAATATATGGAGATATTGTACTGCAAAAAAAAGTGCAGTTTCTGTTCGGCATTTCATTTGCTGTTGGTTTACTAGCTGCTATTCGATCATGTGGAAGGTTTCTTACCCCACAGCTCATCCATGCTTTCAGTTCGTAATGCTGTATTATTTTAAGCCTCTTCATTTGACTGCAATGCCTCACTCTGCTTGCCATTACTGGTGCTCTTAACTAACCCCTTGCTTTACCAAATATGGCCACTCACAGAAGAGTTGCTCTGGTAATTTAATCCTCGATTGGCTCAATGCCCGCTGCACAGTCTACGAACATTAACAGGTAGACTGTTAAATCATGTTCCAAAATATATATGCAAAGAGATAGCTAAAATATCAAGGCTCTCGAAATTCTTCTTCCAAAACTTTCAGGAAGAGTCCTGTTCCTTTCCTTCCCCAATGAGCACATTAGACATTTACCCTTAAAGAAACATTGGAATGAGTACACCATCAATGTGCAGTACACTCAGATAGAAGGCAGCACAGGGCAGTGAGCTAATGGAAAACATCTGTTCTCTTGAGTTATGTGTACAGTAGGATCTTTTTTTCCCATCGCATAACATTTTAAATATATTTATTTTATTTGTGATGTGTGAATTCCTGGGAAACCAGATATCAAATTAGGAAAAGGGTGGGGTATTTAGAGACAGTCCAAAAAAAAATATTGCAGGGTCAAGGAGTGGAATCTTTGTCTGCAACTTGCCAGGTTCCGTACAACATCATCAGCGGAATCTGCTGCTTCTCCAGGGAATATTGGTCATAGTTCACTGCTGGGCCTCTCCCTCCCTTACAAATATTCATGCTTCTCTTCAATCTGCCAAATACTTTCACTGACAACTGTGATGTTCTTTTCCTTATTAAGATGCCTGTATGAGCTGTGTTGTGGCCAAGTAGATTGCTGTGGCATAAATAACCTTGGCCCTGACCACACTGCCTTTTGTGTATCATTCTCCACCAGTGAGATTTTGGTATTAGGTGATCTACCTTAACCGTGACATACATGGGCAGGCTGCAGTTCACAGGGCTCAGCCTGGGGAACTGACAGTCTCCTTAAAAATCCCAGAGAATGCCCACATGAGCTGTATGTCAAATTCAGACAACCAGGGAACACAGAAAATTTTCTCAGTGGGTTTCTAGGGAGAGGAAAACTTTGTGATTATGGTTAGGGATTTTAGAAGTTGGAAGCAATTCTTAGGCTGCACGTGGAACTCTAGAGACTTGGGGATGATGTGGCCACTGGGTCCTAGCACCCAGTGGTAGAATACACAGACCAGTTTCTGCATCATCAATTGCAAATCAGACTAGTCGGACCTGTGGTAGCTATAAGTGGCCTGAGTTTTTTTTATGCCAGGTGGTTCATACTGCAGAAAACCACTTTAAAAAGCAATTTGACTTTTAGGGACAGAAATCCAACTGTTCTTGCCTTCGAAGTGATGAGAAGAATTATTCTTGACATCATTTTGGAAAGCATCCAGAGCTGCAGATCAATCAGCATTTAACATGAGCCAACACTAAGCTGTCCTTCTTTTCATTGTACTTCAGCAGAGATGTGACTTGTCCAGCAGTAAAAGGCTTGACAGAAGTCACACTAGTCAAGCAAGAACTCATTGCGCCCTCTGCAAAGGACTGGCAGTTTGGGGAGTCTTTGTTGCTGCTCTGGAAAAAATGGACGTGAAGCAGTGATTTAAAAGGCAGGATACAAATGCCACAGATCAGAGTCTTTCTGGCCCTGGGAATCAGGTGTTTAATTTAGTACTCTCCTGTTCCAGCTGGGTTGAGAGCACAGAGGGTGCTGGGAAAATTCTTGGAGGAATTGACGTGGAGCAGAAATCCATCAGCCCCAGGCAGCAGGCTGTGGAAACAGAGCAGATAAAAGATAGCCAGCTCCAGGCAGCTGGTCAGAATAAGATACTGCAGGACCAGGGAGAGCTCCCCAGGTAAGAAGGAGTCCATCTGACAAATTCCGAAGCTCAAATGAATCCTTATCCCAAAGCAAGTCTGTCACAGTTCCCGCCATCTCAGGGCATTGCAAGGTATTTAAAGGGACAGTGCTCCATCTTGCAATTGTGCAGTGTGGCATGCTTGAATGGTTTAAAATAGGGCCAGTATGGTTTATTCAGTGAGAGAACCTTGGGAGGGTGGTGGGCTGTTTGGCAGAAATCACATTGAAAACATTAACTCTATATGTAGCCACAGTGAAAAGAAAAACTGACTTTTGGGAATGTCTGGGAAAGGGACTCAAAATAAAATTGCCAACATCACAATACCTTTATATAAATCTGGGGTGCTGCTACATTTGAAATACTTTGTACAGGTCTGGTTATGCCATCTCACAGAACATTTTCCTTACTAGTTTAAGCTAAACTCCCTTACTGAAACACTGGAACTCCCTGTGCAAGGAATCCTGTAACTCTCTGCCTCAAAGAAATCTAAAGGGAATTCCTTTTCATGCGGTAAATTTGGCTGTTCAAGTAGCAATGAGAACTTCTGGCCAAATGATCCTGGCTGGATGTCGTAAGTAGAGGAGCTGTCATCAGAGAAGGGCAGGAGGCTAAAGAATCCACCATGACTCTTCTTGAGAAAGGCAGACTATAAATGCTGTAAAATAAATTCAAAACAGGTAATAAGTCCACAAAAAAGTTACTAGCCCATTTGAGGCACATGGAGGGCCAGAAAAGAAAAGAAAACTGATTATCTTCTAATGTATCCAAGTTTCTGCGTCTGCTCACCTGGAGGTGATTTTTGCTCTCTGCTTGGGTGACCAGATGTGGAGGGATTTACAGACCTGATTCAAACTATTCCTCATTCTTCCTGTCTGATCTCTGCTGCACCCACTGTAAATTAGTTTTATAGATTAGTAGTGCTTCTGGTTTAACAGTAAGCAGAATGAATGACTAATAGGAGCATAAAATTAAATTTCTTGGAACACATG